CCTATATGGCATTGTTCTTCCCTTAGTCTGTGATTAGATATGATACTGACCTATATGGCATTGTTCTTCCCTTAGTCTGTGACTAGATATGATACTGACCTATATGGCATTGTTCTTCCCTTAGTCTGTGACTAGATATGATACTGACCTATATGGCATTGTTCTTCCCTTAGTCTGTGACTAGATATGATACTGATCTATATGGTACTTTTCTTCCCTTAGTCTTCACCCCCTGTTCCCGGGATCAAACGAAGTGGACCAGATAGCAAAGATACATGACATTTTAGGAACCCCTGATCCCAGTGTTCTCAACAAACTCAAAAAGTAAGGTTTGGCTTGTGTGGATGAAAGGTATGTAGAATGTGTATACATATACAAAAGGTATGTATGTGTATAAAGTGATGTATTTGTAAATGTTTCATTTTCTAATTATTTTTTTCTGCATTTGGAATATTGCGCCAAATTATGATGATTGTGCTTGTTGCAGCTTCGCTATAAAATTTTGCTGTTGAATATAATGTACTGTAGATGCGTCAAATCATCAATGTGCTAATCTGTTAAAATTTGTTAATACGCTAAAATTTGAGTGTGCCAAAATAAGTATGTTTGCTGTATATAAATTGTAAAACAGGGGTCCAGAGAGGAAGTTACAGTTGTCACTTTATTCAATTCATATCTTGGTCATATGGGTGTTTGGTAGTACATGTATATGTATGTAAATGTAAAATAAAAAATGATCCTGAGAATTTTATTATCTATTTTTTTTAATCATTTAATGCTTCATGACCTAAGTTTCCATAATTCAGGTAAATTTCTAAGTCATTTTTTTTCAATGATTTGTTTTATCAAATAAAGTGGAATGTAATGTAGCTTATTTTGAGAAACATTAAGTGTCCTAAATGACATGTCCACATGATGTTTCTGGTATACTCTTCAGGTCGCGTGGCATGAACTTCAACTTCCCCCACAAGAAGGGTACAGGTGTGGAGCGCCTTATACCTCACGTGTCGTCTGAAGCTGTTGACCTCATCTACCAAATGTGTACCTACGACCCTGATGAGAGGTTGTCTGCCAAACAGGCAATACGACATACCTACTTCAAGGATCTAAGGTATGCTACAGTTCAAAGCAACACCTTTGTCTCATTACTGACCAACAGGTGAAGAATCCCACATAAAATCTCAAACTTGCCATCTATTTGAAATTTCCCTGGGAGAGATTTTGCGTGCTTAAAGTTAAACCCTAACTAAAATATGTGCGTATATACCCCTAGAGATAAAATAACCCTTTAAATGACATGTTTAGAGAAGTTCTTTCAGATGAAACAATTTGGTCTTAGAATATAGGAATAGTCTAAAAATTTCACGGATTGAAAATGCTAAATTTAAGGGTTCAAAATTGGAAGGAGAAAATTGGGAGTCTCCTTCCTAAATAGGGAGAGTTGGTAAGTATGCATACACTCTCTATTCTTTGGTAGTTTGTCCACTTTTTTACCCTTGTGTTTCATCCTTTATAACCCCACTTTGTTAACAGGGAGGCAGATAAGCGTCAGGCATTGATAGCCAAGGCCAAACAGCAGGAGGAAAAGGAGTCACGGGAAAGGAAACCAGATGTCATCAAGGCACCGCCATCTGAAACATCGGGCATAGAGGTGGATACTTTGCGCACAGAGAAGAAAAAGATGGAATCACAACAGGAAATGCGCACAATGCCCAGTCTACCTAAAGCTCAATCCCTACCTACTCACCCACACTTCTTTAAAGACCGAAGAAAGGTAGGGTTGTCTCCCCTTGTTGTTGAAGGTTGATCAGTTGTTCATCCTTTTTATTAAGATGCAGGAGTTCCATGGTACAAAATTCTTTATTATATGCCAGCTTTGAAATTAGAGTAGGTATACAGAAATCAGGTTGTCTGTCTTTTTGTTTGTCTGTTTGTCTAATTGAAAACACAATTAAGTCTGCACCATACACATCACAAAAATGTGCATATGTCACTGCTATGTCGTTTTCAAATGGTGTTAAGAGAGTTATGGCCCTTGATTTACCTGATTGGCCTCTTGATAACATTCTAGCTTTAACTTTGCCTATGTACCTCCTATGTTGATGATGCACAAACCTTAGTGTGCTTCCTGAACTAAACAGGAATCAGGGTGTGTCTATGTGTAGGCACAAGTTTGTTATGACTACTTCTCCTAAAGAACTGCATACATTTCAATGAAACTTTGAACACTTTATCAGTATGCATGGTAGTTATTAATATAACTATGCAATATATTTTTCTTCTTTTTGAGCATTGTGGTTTTGTTTGGACAAACCGTAGTTAACTTGAATCCATCCAACTCGGGCAAAATGACACTCTCTGTACATCAGGAAACAGTTAGGAAAGAGGGAGAGTTAGAAATGACTTTGTCCTGTTTAACACTTGCTCAGCCATTAATATGTAAAACTAGAAATGGGTAAACCTTTCATTCACCATCATCAAATTGATATTATCAAACTTGCTGATGTTGTCCTTCCTATTTTATATTAAGACAGAGTTCATCAGTAAATGCTGTGATATTTTGCCTCTGTTAGAATGTCTTGTTATTAAATTTAGACTTTTGTCTTACAGAAGCGCCACAAACGACTACTAGAGACTCACCATTTCTCCAATCATACTGGCCTTAATTTGCCAAAAGTTCCAATGCATGCCAACTCTCTAAACCCTTCATTCCACACCAGCTCATTTAGTTCCTACAACCATCCCCAGGGCACGACCAGTCTGTCTCTCCTTCCCAGTATCAACGCCACCTACAAACCCCACAAGGTAAGTACAAATGTTGTAAAGTACCTTGTATAATATAATTTTTATTTTATATTTATATATGTTTATATACACATTTATTTCATATTTAATATTGAGATATGCTCATGCACAAATGTAGTCAAGAGCATTAATTGGGTACCTTTTTCAGTCTGTCTTCATGTCCATAGCATAGGTTGAGTTTTTAAGCATCAACAGCCCTCAAATGAAATATTTATTTCACCAAACCAGTAGATAAAAGAAATAGGATAATGGAAGCTAAATATTAAAGGCCAAGTTTATAGGTCATCTAACTAATATAATTGATAAGTTATAAAATCAATCTTTCCAACATAAGTGGAAAAAATAGATGATTACCCGTGTACTTAACCGGGTAAGATGAAGGGAATAATTATGAAGGCTGTGACCCCTCATTGTCCAAAGCCAAGGTCACCTGGTTATAACAGAGGTGGTCAGAAGCTCCATCTGTCTAAAGATAATCATATAAACGAAACATAAGTGTAATGTTAATATTAACATATTTTTTTTTTTTCAGCCAGCGAACAAAGCAACGAAGAACATTGTTGGTAGCTATCAACTACCGTCCCTGGATAGACGAGGTGGAGCAGGATTTTAGGTACAAGACACAAGTGTGACATCCTCAGCTGAATATGGTTTCCCTAGCTGGCTGTGACATCGTCAGCCGAGTGTGACATTGTCAGCTGACTGTGACAACATCAGCTAAACATGACATTCTCAGTTGACCGTGGTTTCATTAGCTGACCGTGACATCCTCAGCTGACAGTGGTTTACTCAGCTGACCTTGATATCTTCAGCTGACCGTGATATCCTGAGCTGACCATATCTTTACCTCCCAATATTTACACATCTATACATCCCAATGCTTGATTTCAGTGGACTTAATGAATTTTGTTCAAAATTCAAAAGTGGAGGACAACCACAAAAAGGAGGGATGTAAGAAGGATTAAGGAATCTGCTGCTACTGTTCATTAATGTTAACAAATTGTTTGATGGAACAAAGTGTATTGACAAAGTGAGGGTGATATGTTATTCTGTTTGTCAATGTCATGTTATCAAATGCATAATTTGCATATGTCAATGGATATGTAAGTATTTTTGTGATATACCTATCTATACATGCCATGCCTAGGGTGATACATGCTTTTTGAAGATTACAAATTGTATTTATTTTGTTGTTATGTATAGTTCTATGGCGATAATATCATTGTTCTCACTGGGTAGTAGTTTCTCTATTATTTGTTAGGGATTATATGCTATTTCCTGAGGTATATATGAATTTTGTTTTATCCCCCCATGCGTAACATACACTAATCTGAGAACCAACCTGTTTGTATATGTCAATTTTTATGCAATACACATCTGTACAGTGCTTCAGGCTATTATAGGTGTTAGGTATACCACAGCTTTTAAAATTGAAAACAATTCTAATCATTTGAGCACTTTATTTCAAATTTATCATTTACAAAAGCCACACCTTCTTCATCAGACCAAATGACAACCCTGTGCATTAACTATTTGCTGGGTGGTAAACGTTAAATTTTCTTTCGCACAACATTTTGTGTCAGTGTTTCTTTCGTAAGTTCCAAATCTGAACAGCAAGAAATGGCAATAACTGTCGTTGAACAAACTTCCTCTTTGCCACGGAAGGTTTTAATCCTGATATATGCCACTTCTTCGCTCCTGTCTTTCCTGTGAAAACCCTTGTGAAGAGTAAGAAGGTCTAAACAGTATACTCATGGTATTAACTAGTCTCTGTAAAATAGGTTTGTTTATCGTGATGGAAGGAGTGGGAGTGTAGTTTTCTGTGAGACAATTTGGCTTTGTGATTTATATGGAAGTAAAAAGTCTAACCTTAGGTACAATATAAACTTCGAAGGTTTCACTTGATGGTATTGGGACTACTAAAAACAAATGTCTGAGGTTAGTGGGGCAGGAGGCGAGTCGGGTTTACAGGATATATTCTGTATTTGTTGGTGTCTTCCACTATTATGTGTGTTCCCACAAGAAGAGATCAACAATGCAATGAATTATACCTGGCTACTGAAAGTCTTGAATATGGGACTTTTTTGTGTGCAGTTGTGTAGCTTTACCAAAATGGTATTGTATATGCAATGTATTAAGTGTATTGTATAAATATTATTTAAACTTAAATAAATATATACTGTTATGATAAATTTTGATATTTAATAAAATCTTTTATGGAGTAGTTGAATCAGGGTAAAACACTGCTCTGTTAGGCTTTGTATTGATGCTGTTAAGGACTCATAAAATGGGGGTTTTCTTTAAATAATACTTTTAAAAACACTTAAATTTTTCCAAATAAATGTTGCTCATCCCAACTGTTTGGTGCTTTGCTTTTGTACACGTTTTTGGTGCATGTATCTTAATCTGATACCAGAGTACTTTAATTTTTAAATCTAGAACATTGAGGAACTTCTATGGACATGCTGTACAGTGCTTTATATTTCCAAGCTTAACTTTTGTGTTTTTGTCAGCAAAACACAATCATATGGATCAATTTCCCTATTTTTTACTAACATACATATTTGATAAGATCAGGTACATAGAATGTGCATTTGATACTTCAGATTTTATAAATCTTTCAACTTGAATGAAAAAATCTGAAAACAGTAAACCTTGGGATCCATTCTGTCAGTTGACAATCTGTCATCAATCTTTCCAAATATAAGCAAAAGAAAGAAATGTGTTTTATAATTTAAGACTAACAAAATGAGACTGTTTGATGTATTTTAGATTTACACTGTAGTATTAGTCTTTTGTAAGAACACCATACACTGCAGTTGACAGTGAAGTTCATAACTCAATAATGAACAGTTACTATTTTGTATAGAAATAACAGTAAGCGTAGCTTTGTTATGTATCACACTTCTCTGCTAACATTGAAGTATTGGATTTGCTTTAAATTTGCGTATAAGAAACCTCAATTTTTAATTCTAATATCTCCTGTGCTCTGCTTCACTCATCCCCACCGAAAAAAACACAGACAAATCACCTGGACAAATGAAATCACAAGTGTTTGATGACGACTTATTTTTTTAACAAAAACAGAACATTTTGTGATTTTATGCAGGAGGACAACACAGTTTATGTTTCTTTTTAAAAAAAACACCATGTAGTGCCAAATTGTATAATTATTTTCAATGGTTATTAAAAACATAAGTATGAATGATTATGTAAATGAGCCATTTTGACATGTATATATATAGAATTAAAATTGTTGTATTTTGTTGTAAGTTTGTACTATTACACTGGTGACTAAATACAGTGTTTAAACCTGGTGACATTTTCAATAAATGGTTTAAGTAGAGTTATATAACATTAATACTGGAATGTTCACAGAAATATGAGCATACAATTAAGGATCCCTGTACCACTGCTGAAAAAAATGGAGAAAAAAAACATGCTGGACTTGATAAAAAAAAGAAGAACAAAAGTTAACTCAAATTGTCTGAGTGCATACAGTCAGTGGGGCTATATACCAGGATTAGAGCACTGTACCACAAATTGTTATAGTGGGGCTATACCAGAACTAGAATACTGTACCACAAATTGTTATAGTGGGTCTATACCAGGATTACAACACTGTGACACAATTTGTTATAGTGGGGCTATACCTGTATTAGAACACTGTACCACAAATTGTTATAGGGTGGCTATACCAGGATTAGAACACTGTTCCACAGATTGTTATAGTGGGGCTATACCAGAACTAGAATACTGCACCACAAATTGTTATAGTGGGGCTATATCAGGATTAGGACACTGTATCACAAATTGTTATAGTGGGGCTATATCAGGGTTAGGACACTGTATCACAAATTGTTATAGTGGGGCTATACCACGACTAGAACACTGTACCACAAATTGTTATAGTGTGGTTATACCAGGATTAGAACACTGTACCACAGATTGTTATAGTGTGGCTTTACCAGGATTAGAACACTGTACCACAGATTGTTATAGTGGGGCTATACCAGGTTTAGAACACTGTACCACAAATTGTTATAGAGGGGCTTTACCAGGATTAGAACACTGTACCACACATTGTTATAGTGGGGCTATACCAGGTTTAGAACACTGTACCACAAATTGTTATAGAGGGGCTTTACCAGGATTAGAACACTGTACCACAAACTGTTATAGTGGGGCTATACCAGGATTACAACACTGTGACACAATTTGTTATAGTGGGGCTATACCTGTATTAGAACACTGTACCACAAATTGTTATAGGGTGGCTATACCAGGATTAGAACACTGTTCCACAGATTGTTATAGTGGGGCTATACTAGAACTAGAATACTGTACCACAAATGGTTATAGTGGGGCTATACAAGGATTAGAACACTGTACCACAGATTGTTATAGTGTGGCTTTACCAGGATTAGAACACTGTACCACAAACTGTTATAGTGGGGCTATACCAGGATTACAACACTGTGACACAAATTGTTATAGTGGGGCTATATCAGGATTAGGACACTGTATCACAAATTGTTATAGTGGGGCTATATCAGGGTTAGGACACTGTATCACAAATTGTTATTGTGGGGCTATACCAGGATTAGAACACTGTTCCACAGATTGTTATAGTGGGGCTATACCAGAACTAGAATACTGTACAACAAATTGTTATAGTGGGGCTATACCACGACTAGAACACTGTACCACAAATTGTTATAGGGTGGCTATACCAGGATTAGAACACTGTTCCACAGATTGTTATAGTGGGGCTATACCAGAACTAGAATACTGTACCACAAATTGTTATAGTGGGTCTATACCAGAACTAGAATACTGTACCACAAATTGTTATAGTGGGTCTATACCAGAACTAGAATACTGTACCACAAATGGTTATAGTGGGGCTATACAAGGATTAGAACACTGTACCACAGATTGTCATAGGGGGGCTATACCAGGATTAGAACACTGTACCACAAACTGTTATAGTGGGGCTATACCAGGATTACAACACTGTGACACAAATTGTTATAGTGGGGCTATATCAGGGTTAGGACACTGTATCACAAATTGTTACAGTGGGGCTATACCAGGATTAGAACCCTGTACCACAGATTGTTATAGTGGGGCTATACCAGGATTAGAACACTACCGCAAATTGTTATACTGTCGCTTTGTATCCTAATGAGCTATCTGGTCAACAGAAGTGTCCTAGCCTGGCCTAATTGCACTATAGTTATAACCAAATCAAAAAGAAGGGGAGGTAACTGTAATATACCTAAGTCTACAGTGGAACTCTCTAGTGTTTTTTTGCCTGCAGTGGGAGATAGATCCTGAACAGGTCCTTGATTTCTCCATACACTCAAAGTCCTAATATTTTCATCTACTAAATTTTTACCCAAACATATGTCCACCCTCATATGTCCAACCTGTGCTGAATTAACCACACTTCTTTTTCATGTTTTTAAACCTTGCAAATGTTGTTTTATGAAATGTTTGACACCGCATTGAATTTGCACTATAAAGGACAAAAATGAAAATGGTGGACATTGTTTTTTTCTCTTCTGAATTTAGTATGTCAAGTGTGATCTGTTGTGTCAGCACAAAGGTGATCATCATGTTAACCTTGTGACAGATCTCTGTTATATATATATATATATATCAAGCTAAGGAAACCTTTTCCTTTGAAATAGAAGAAATGCCAGCATATTTCAGATATGAGGCTCTCTTTATATTAAAGGGAGATAACTTAAAATATATTACATATACCCGGTACATTGATTCACCTCCCTGAAGCAGGCCAACAGATTTCACATTTGAACAAGTCATTCACTATTTATGTCTAAAAAATCAATTATTTTGTTTGTTTTAACAGTAAAAACCATTCTTAAAAAGTTACTTTATTACTGAACTTTGGACATTTTTGTTTGAAGAAATATTTTTATTTTAAATGGAATGATTTTACAGATGTATATTATTTAATATCGTGTTTTTACAATTGAGCTTAGCTTGTTGAAGATGGAATTCCTAATTTCAGAAATTGGTTTCCATTTAACTAATTGATTGTATTGTGTAGTTTTCCCTGGTATTTATATTTAAGTACGGTTGAATCTAGCTCCTTAACATAAGACCTAGATTGTTAGATATGTGTATGCTTTTAATTTCATTTCCTTATATTTTGTGCATGAAAATCATGAAATAGTAGTTTAGACTGAATGATTGAATTTTGAAAGCAGAAATTGCAGGATATATTCAATGCTGAAACATACCGAAGATTAGACTTATTGAATTGGGTTTTTTTTGGTTATCAAAAATCTATTTTCTATTTGTCCCTCCATGCTTCTCAAGTCCAAAATTGGTCGAGAATAGAAATGAATATTTTTAGGATTAAAATCCTTATTTGAACTGCTGAGTGAGAAAAAATTCCAAGAAAATATATCTTTTAACTGCTGTCTTCCTAGTCAATAACAAAAAAAGTGTATAAAGTAAATACATATATGTTTATGAAAGGGAAATGAGAAAATGATTTGTGATATTCCAACATTTCAGTGTGATATTTAATTGTTATGATGCTGTAGATATTTTTTTGTAACTAGGGTCACTAGATTGAGTTAATTGTGATAGCGGTGTTTGTTGACTGTGATGAGGCTTTGTAAGGGTTTCTGACTTTGTGTTGTTCCATGGCCTAGTACTCGGGTTGTCTCCCCTTATAGCTTTGTCTGGGACAGGAGTTTTAATCAAGACACTCAACGTAAGGGGAAGCCAACACACTATCTTACTATACTGGTTAAAAAGAACTCTTCATAATAAATAATATATACTGGTTAGACTTCGATTCAGAAGTGGTCAAAGCGATCATAAAAAGTAGACAATATTTTACATTTGTTGTACCAGATTCGTTGCAAAAATTAAGAAACATTTGTAGGTTTTATATATTTTTTTGCAGACATTGTTTTGATTTAACCAATTTGAATCCATTCTCACATGAAAATATTTATTGAACGTACTATGAATCAATACAAATAATACTACAACTGAAACAGATTCGCTTCAGCCTAGTTACAAAATTGTCTGCTCACAAAAATATTTTTGCTTGCAGTTATCTTGAAAGAACTTCTTTTAATGTATGAAAAAAGTCATCTGTTTGAGGATTATTTATGGCTGTAGAATACACGGTTACTGACACTTGTGATCATTTAAAAGGGTAAATATAGATAAGCACAGAATTTTCCTAACCAACATCAACTAATCTAATACGACAAATAGTGTGTCCATGTTTTAATTGTAAAATGTCTACCACAATATAAATAGAATCTCTAACAAATAATCCAACACCAGTATACAACAATTTGAATAACATGATATATATATATATATGATATCAAACTTTGAATTAATCCCATTTATTTGTGACGGCTAGAATAGTATACCGTTCACTAGCTAGGTATATAGATTATAGAGTATTTGGTTGATCCTCTAATAGTGTATTATTGATGTATTCAAATACATGATATAAAAATAAAGTCTGGTCTCGCTGCCTGTCAACATTATATGTATATGATTCTGTGGTCAGTTTTTGATATGTACAGTATTTAATATATTTCTGGTCTATCATGGTCACCAGATCATCATAAATTAAAATAATATCGGATTCTGTTTGGGACATCTGGTATTAATTATCTGCCCGACAATGGTGTCATTATTTATGAACATTTTTTTTTATATAAACTCTTTACTTCAAAAATCTACCGGAACTTCAAAAAAATATTTATATCATTTATTATTATTGTTTTTTGTGCTGAATATCTAAAAAAAAATAGCTTTGGTAGATTGTCTCTGTTTGACCTTGCCCTATACCAGCAACATACATAGTTTGATTAAATTTACATAAATATGATATGTAATGATAATGAAAATCCTGTTGAAAGAGGTGTGAGGAATCATATCCGTCAAGATAAACACATATCACAGTACATTACCCTGTACCGTGTTCCTCTGATATTCAACACATTTCCTATCAGCATGATGGGTTTTTGTAAAATCCGTCCAAATCCTTTTCCTGTCTTTCAAGCCATTGTGATAGGTTTTAATGAATACATATTATCTATAGAGATTGTTCATAATTATTTTACTGGCATATCTGTTGTAGAACACTATAAAAATCATGTAAACTTAAAGAAAATAAAGAAAAAAATATCATTACAGTTCATGTGTTGATTTTTGTGTTGAGTAAGCTATTAATGCATTGTCTGGTGCTTTATGTCTATGAGTATACAAGAGACCTTTGACGGGAGAGATTAGGCCTGCTGTATCCCAATGCATGTTACTTAATAGAAAACTAATTTGGGACTTCCTGCAGAATTGGGGGGGGGGGGGGGGGGGGGTTCTATTGTGTCTTCTACGTAAGAGAACATTAAAGTGACCAGAACTGAACTGCTGTCCCCATTGGGTCACTTTGGATGTCCATTTTCCTTTCCATTCCCCTATTGATTCTTTTTCTGCAGTATCTCCCAAGGAACCTGTCTTCATATAACCTCAGCTGATGTGAGGACATCAAAAAACAAGCAAATCAAAGGACTATTTCAACTTACTATAGAGCATAGTCAAAAGAGGTTAGTGTATACCGTTGTTTATCAGTTACAAAACCAAAGTCATGTACCAGCCTTACACCTGCAAACCCCCACACTACACCAAACATGTGCTCAACGGTGTGGACAAATTAAGAGACTTTAGAAGTACCTTCTGTGGCATGTCACCATTGATGTGGAGGTTCAGAGCAGAATTGCCGAGGCAAGCAGTGCCTTTAGAAGACTCTAACCCAATGTCTGGGAGCGTAGAGGAATTGGCCTCAAAAACTTAGGGTCTATCAAGTGGTGGAGGTTAAGATGCTTCTGTATGCATATGTATCATCGCCTGTCTGTAGCAGACATGTAATGTAGAAGAACCGCTTCCATACAACCTGTATCTGCAGGCTGTTGAACGGCATACGGCACTTACAAATTCTCGACACAGAGGCCATCTCATATGCAAATAATGTACCCAACATACTTTCGTATGAGAAGGCGAAAGCAAGGTTGGCAGGCACATTTTGTACATAGATGAGGAGCAAATCCCCAAGGTCCAATTCTATGGAGAACTGGTGGAAGCAACGGATGTGTCGAGTAAAGTGACCCAAGATTTGCTTCAAAGACATTAAAGAGCTTGGAAATGTGTGTTGCAACTTTTAGAAACCCTTGCCTCAGACTGACCAACATGGCACAGCCTGACAAACAACAGGACAGAATCAAGTGAACAGGGTCACAAAGAAGCTGCTAAAAGCAAAAGAGCAGTAGGGAAAGCATGCTTCCAAGTCACCTACTGGTCTGAAGTGTGCAACATGTAGCAGGTAGTTCCATGCCTAGATTGGTTTGGTTTGGTTTGTTTGTGCTTTTAGCCCTACTAAAAGCTATGGTCATTTAAGGACGAGCCAGGTTTTGGTGGTAGATGGAAACCGGAGTACCCAAAGAAATGCACAGACCAGCAGCCAGTACCTGGCAACTGCCCTACATAGGCCTCAAACCCACAATTCGGTAGCAGTGGGCTAGTGATGTAGACGGTCAGATGCCTTAACCACTTGGCCACCATGGCCCAGGCCCAGATCGGACTTGCTAGCAACCATCAGAAGATGAAGTCATGTTCATCGTGGAGAATGATGGAATAATACCACTGCATACAGTACTTTAGTTCCCCAGTAGTTACCGTTTACTAATTAGTTCACCACTACTTGTGAACTATGGCATACACTTTTACTAGTTGTTACCATATACCACAGATCACTAGCTGAAAGCCCATGCTCATGCAACATAGGATGTTTTAATGTGTGCTTATCAGGTCCATTGTGCCAATTACTTTACAGTAGCTTGGTCACACACTTGCTGTCCAGCATCAGCTTCAAGTTATAACATTTTGTCCAATTCACCACTACCGGTAGGTCGATTTCTAAACAGGATTGCTGACCGGGTTTTCACATTTCTCGCACAAACACTGTATTTCAGATGAGCAAACTAAATACATCAGCTATGAAAATTCAGTAATAGGAATACACATATACATGTTCCTTAAGTTCTTATTGAGCAATTAAAATTTGTAACTTGTTAAAGAGTAATCTTTTCTTTTAAATGTTCATTCCCTATCAGGCCTAGGGGCTACCACAGTAAAACTGAATTCCTCAGCCCCAGGGATACCTCATATCAAAGTTAGTTAAAATTACTATCACAATTTACAACGCTTGTTTGAGGATAAAACTATGTATCAACATGAACTCAAATGACATAAGGAGATCTACTTTATCTCACTTGGCATTAAATTTTGTGAGTTTATAGTTTCTATAGAAATACTTTTTTTAGTGTAACAAAATCAAACTCGTTCTAAGTGTATAAAGGTCATTTATTGGCATCAGCTGTTAAGGTCAACAATAAGAACTAAAGTATTTAAGAAACAAATGTTTAAATACATCAATTAACAGTACAAAGATGATCACAGACATTCCAGCTTATACATTCAGTAACAGGATATTCGGACACACAATGAAAAGAAAACTTTTATAAAAAATGTCACCATTTCTCTCCACAATGAGCAAGCACTACAACCAATCGTGATAGGCTTTTTACCCATTGTGATGACATAAAATACACAGATAGATTTTTAGTATCATTAACAAAAATAATAGATTAAGATCTTTAATCTGAAAACAACACATCAGACTTAGGGCATTTTGTTCAACAAAAATCCTTCAACAGCAATTACTTATGTATCTATATGTATATATATAAAATTTATATCAATGTTTTATTTGAACGCACCCACCTTTTCACTAGATATTTTGTTTACCCAGCAGTTCACAGGTAAATGTATAGAGTATAAACATAAGCCGTAAAAGTTGAAGGTCGTGCTCCCAGCAATATCCCATAATATCTGGACAGTGCTCCTAGCTTAGTCTAAAATAATTACCAGGTACATGTAGTTTTTGGTATCAGTAATATTAAAACAATAAAGAACTGAACAGGTAAAAGTGACAGGCACTTTAAGTATGTATCACCTTTGGAGGTCAACATCTCATCGACAGACACTAAAATGTTGGTGTTGGTTTTTTGAAAATGATTTACTGTTGAGATTTGTCTGTATTTACTGATGATTGGTCCTTATCTTACAAACAGGTGTTGGACTTACATACAGAAGCTTTGTGTTTAATACATTTTGTTATGCTATCTTTTTATTCAAATTCAAATTAATTCCACATTGTACCATACATTTAATTATTAAAAGAAAAAAATATATGTTGTCCATATGATTTATGAATCGAATTAAAATCAGGACTTTTTATAAAGTCAAGTGTAAAATATACGTTTTGTTTTCCTTAATTTCTACAAATATAAAGAGGAAAAAGAATTTTATTTTTTTAGAAAATATAAGATTTTAGGTTGAGAAATTTAAAGCTGAAAACAGCTTTTGAAGCTCCTGAAATGTCTCAATATGATTTGAGGCAAGGTTCATAGCTCATTCAAACATTTATTTTACATGTCTCACACACCCATACATTGTAAGTCAAAACATTTTGCATGATTAAGGCAAAAATAGTTTCTGGTGATGTAATATTTATATCAGCAGTTTAAAAAAACATTTATCTGAAAAAAATGTGCAACTTTAGTATATCACAGATACGTAAGAAAAGGCATTAGGTGCTCAGTCTGAGTAACAGCACCTAACCTTAACAAAACAATGCATAATTGGTTTAACATATATTCAGACTATGTACAATATTTACAGCCTTTAAGCTAAACACTAGCATGCTGTACTACAGCATGTTCATGTTACAGTTTATCAGTATACTAGCAGCTTTGCACTGGGTACTTCAGCATATATAAAGTTTGTCAGTATACTAGCAACTGTACTTCAGTAGATTAAAAATTTGACAGTATACAAGTAGCTGTACTTCAGTAAGTTAAAAGTTTGACAGTGTACAAGAGGCTGTGCTTCAGTAAGTTAAAAGTTTGACAGTATACAAGTAGCTGTACTTCAGCAAGTTAAAAGTTTGACAGTATACAAGTAGCTGTGCTTCAGTAAGTTAAAAGTTTGACAGTATACAAGCAGTTGTACCTCAGTAAGTTAAAAGTTCGACAGTATACAAGCAGCTGTACCTCAGTAAGTTAAAAGTTTGACAGGATACAAGTAGCTGTACTTCAGTAAGTTAAAAGTTTGACAGTATACAAGCAGCTGTACTTCAGTAAGTTAAAAGTTTGTCAGTATACTAGCAACTGTACTTCAGTAAGTTTACAGTTTGTCAGTATACTAGCAGCTGTACTTCAGTAAGTTTACAGTTTGTCAGTATACTAGCAGCTGTACTTCAGTAAGTTTACAGTTTGTCAGTATAGTAGCAGCTGTACTTCAGCAAGTTCACAGTTTTTCAGTATACTAGCAGCTGTACTTCAGTAAGTTTACAGTTTGTCAGTATACTAGCAGCTGTACTTCAGTAAGTTTACAGTTTGTCAGTATACAAGCAGCTGTACTTCAGTAAGTTTACAGTTTGTCAGTATAATAGCAGCTATACTTCAGCATATATACAGTATGACAGTATTTTAGTACATCACAATATATCCGTACAACAAATCAGCAGCTAAGTTCTCAGTATGTAAATATATACATTTCTGGTATATTAATAAACAAATGAAATAGCATAACATGTGAATAAACTTTATACAAATTTCAACAAACATAACCTATGTCTCCAACTGAGTCTGTTTGGATGGTGTTTCTATTGCAAAAGAGGATTTTGTGTCAAAACAGAAACCACACACATGTTTTATAAGTTATTATATTTTTATATAAATGAGATATATAATTTTGATTCTTAATCATCATCATCTCCCATCGCAACATTTTTCTTGGTTACATTTTTCATGAAGGGCATTTCAAAGTCGGGAAAGTCCACCTCCCAACCATATCTGTCCCTGCGCACCCGCTTCTCCTGGATAAGTTCTTGAGAGGTCGGCTGTTTTGTCCATGCCTTAAGTGGAATGTACGTTATGTCCTCCTCCTCATCCACCCCACTAGCTAGGGCAGACGCCGCCCGCAAAATTGACCCCTTCCTCTGACGCGATGGAAGATCCTCACCCGAAGCACTGAATGGAATCTGCAAAAAAAAATATTAGTCAATCAGATTTTTATTTTTTTATTTTTTTATTTAGCATGACCATAACTTGTCAATAACATTAGATATATTTTGTCTCAATATTCAAAGCATGACACTGAAGCAGAGATGAGAAGACACTTTAAATAGATCTAGATCCATTTTCGACACATGCGTTAGGTATACTGGGTGAAATATCCCACATCTACCACAGAAATATAGCCACTACTGATAGAGTAATTACCTGTGTATCATTTACTGTACCTTGTAAGGTCAAATTATTTTTATGAATCTGGCTGTAGATAATAGAAAAGTGTAAGAAGTGGATTAGAGATGTAAGTTCTAATACCATGTAAAAATATATACATGGTGTAATAATATAATATCATTAAAATGTGGAATATTAGTAATATTATTTCTTTGGGACCACAATTTGAGAAGTGCTTCAACTTTACATAAAATATAATTTACAGGAGACAGAGGTAGTGACAGATCCAGAGGTTTTTTTTGGGCTTCAAGAAACCCACCCACCCTGAGAATTTTCTTTAAAAATCATATATTTTCACCATTTTCCTCAATCTTTCCCCACATGGAAACCCCCGGGAAATTTGGAACCCCCCCCCCCTCAGATAGGTCTCTGGATCCGCCACTGAGAGGTGTGTCAACATAAACATTATTTCTGGGTTCAACAGTGTATTCTGCAAGACAGCAGTGTGTCAATAACAAAATGGTATATCATTTCTGAGGGGCAGAAATGTTTCAATATGATATATTAGTTCCAGGAGATGGGAGTGTGTCAATATAAACATTATTTCTTAGAGGCAGCACTGTGTCAACAGAAAATATTATCCTGGGGGACAGCAGCATGTCAAAATAAAATGTACCTCTGTTAGAATTAAATAGGTAAATTTATTGTGGATCATTTGTCAAATGATTTACAAACATTACATAATCAGGCATGTGACACATACTGCTTCTAACAATACACGTGTTGACTGGAACATATCTACCTGTGTCACACACGTGTTGACTGTAACATATCTACCTGTGTCACACACGTGTTGACTGTAACATATCTACCTGTGTCACACACATGTTGACTGTAACATATCTACCTGTGTCACACAGGTGTTGACTGGAACATATCTACCTGTGTCACACACGTGTTGACTGGAACATATCTACCTGTGTCACACAAAGTCCACACACATTTGGTTTACACACACATGTATAACAGAGGATGTTAGAGTCACAGGTACCCAGGAGAAAGCTGACAGTAACTAAGGTATATTGCTGTAAACTGGGGATAGGGGGAGGGGAGGTGTCACATATATCCATGTACCTTCTCCATTGTGTTTTCCAATAAAAGACTCTGTAAATTCAAAATAGAAAACTGATTCTCAAATAAAAGAAAAAAAATATCGTTTCATAGACACTTATAAACTTATTCAATTTCAAAACATATCATAAGGACATTTGGAAGGTGAAATGGGGTCACAATTTACAGTAAATAATGATAAACCGACAAAGGATAATGATGGCACTAGCACACAGGAGAAGTCCACACAGGAGATCTATAGCACTTTCTATGGCTAGCTCTCTAACATGGTAACATTGTTGTGTCCTATATCATCACATCGACGAGGCCAAACTTGATCTACTTTTTACTGTTACGTTTACTGACATGCTCCAATTTTAAAAAATTTGAATCAAACAGTTAACCATTTGAAAACTGTCCAAAGATATTCTGAAATGTTTACAATAATTTGTTCAAAGGGTGAAAATGGAAATTACTTTCATATATTGCAATGGTTACTTCTGAGAATAATGTCTTATGGTCATTCATAACTTATAAGACATAATCAGATAAATTCTTTGGTAATGTGCTCTTCTTAACCAGTTTTTTTTCAATCCAGTTCACTTGCAGTTATTTTATACCAACCGATCAAATCAACCCTTAACACATCTAACTGTGCATCTTTGCTAGCCAAGTGGAGTGTATACAAAGGGAACACTTTGCTAGCGAAGATGCTAATTGTGTAATTGTGATGTTAATATATGTACTACAAAAGTCCATTTGATGTTACACTATTGAAGACAATCATTGATGCATGTTGCCAAGTACCACAAAGATACACAAAGATAAACAATGAGACATTCAACGATTCATCAAATGGATTTTTATTTGTTTGTGGTAGATACATATTTGTGTTTAAGTAACTCTAGTCTTTAAATTTATTTTTGCAAATTATCCAATATTTTCTTCTTTTTAGCATTCGAAGTGCATGGAAACTTTACATTTTTACACTGTAACTGACTCAAAATAATTTCTCAGACTGCTGTGAAGACTGCTTCAACCTAAGGTCACATCACTGACTGAGTTATCAAACCTTAAGTCATGAATATTAATGTGTGTTCCCTTTAAAACACAAAATCTGACAGTTTAATATTTTTCCTTTGCATAGCTGGAAATCTCCATTAGAGAACACACATCAGAAAGAAAATGAAAGCATGATAATACAGAACATTCCACTTAATATCACATTAGTTATCATTTCCACTTAATATCATGCTTCTTTCTGACAAATGCCCAGTAACAGGTAAAAGAAAGTGGAATGTTTGGCCAGGTACTGTTTGAGTTATATAGTTTTATGCTAATTAAGCAACATTTCAAACCTGATAATGACCTGTATATCAAATGTATTAGATATTAAATGATAACTCAAATATAGATGAGCCTTAGGCCAGTTTTACCCTGTCTCCCTACAGACCACATATATCTATCCATTTTTGTATACTTTGAGACGAGAGATTTGGATAAACATTCTGTCACTGTATGTTTATAAAAAGTTAACAGAATATTTCAGTGAAAGAATTGTATTCAAAATTAATTGTATGGTTTAAAATGTCCTATCAAAAATAAGTTATTTATGAAGAGTTTCTTACTGTACATAAATCTGTATCTACCAACTGTATTAGTTTGTGAAGAGTAAATGATTAGCGCTACACACGGAGAAGCATATCTTCACATACTTGACAGTTGCTAATCAATAGCGGAGGACGATCTGGAGGGTACCTGTGAGTGAAAATTAGCCCAGTTAAATGGCTATCGATATCAGTAACTAAAAGAACACACTGTATTAAAAGCCAAGAACTAATATCTTTTCAAATAGCTAAAACTTTTTTCTAAATCGTCAAATGTCGTATTTTTCCTATCCATTACAAAATGTGATTATTAATAAAACAAATATTGCTTAAACGAAAAAAAAGAGTTATTATATATATCTGTATTTTCAAAATTTTGAAAAATAATATCTGAAATTGTTCTAAGATTTGTCTTTCTTCACAAAATTCATTATTGACATAAAATAATTTTGTTGGGCGACACTTTATTTGATTACATGCCCCATCAAGGATATTATTTACAATACAGTCACTAGAGTGGGGGCTCGACAACCTTGAAAAAGATAAGGTGGTAGGGTTTCATAAACTTACAATACTGTCATTGTATCTTTTATATTATAGAAAAAATATCTAACCACATGACAGATATATGTGTATATAAATATGACTTATCTACACAAAGTTATGGTGAACACTAAAGCAGTTTAAAAGGAAACCCTTCCACCTCTGAAACCTAAGGCATGTTGTTTTATATCTAAACCATCAGATAAATGTATATTTTAGTTTATATGTATATATACAAAATGTATTTGCAGACTAAAAAACTCATCTACATGGCAAATATATCTGACCATCACTAATGTTTTCGAGCCTCGCAGGCAACTAATTTAAACGTATATATATTTGTATGTGTCTGGGCATTACTCTATACCAAACAAATGTTGGACTGATTTACATGGTCTGCAGGGTGAAAGGGTTAAAACCAGGAGACAAGGCACAAACAGGCATTAAGGGATACTTACTGGTCCTGTGTTCTCCTTGTCTGCAGGGGGCGGCACAGAAGTCGGGCGAGCAGATTTCTGCCCTCCCTTGCCCTTGCCTTTCCCCTTGCCTTTTTTGTCTCCAGCAGGCAGACCATCACACCTAGCCTGCATGAAGTTCAGGACTCGTGGGTCAGCCCAGGAATTTGCTAAGTCCAACGGACTATGACCTTCAGTACAGGAAAAAACATAGACATGCACAGGTTTTTTTTATTATGAAAATAAATATCCAACATAAAACACAGATAAAATATAATCCAATTTAATGTGAAGATTTCTGTGATAATCTATGTCCTTGTCAACAGCAAATATCAAGACTCAAAAGTTTCATAATGCTACTAGCTAAACAAATAAAGCATTTGGTGAAATCGTGTCAATAAAGATTCAACATATGTACTTTTTTTAATAACTGACTTAGTTTCTAAAAAGTAATGTAAAGCCCAAACGATGACTACCAGGTTTTAAAACATTTTAGCATTGATGATTTATAATAATAAAAAGACATGATATATAATAATAAGAAAAATAAAACTGAATGTTAATGTTGATAAGGAAACAACTTATGTACCATTTAATCTAGAGAAAAGCAGTCTGCCCTGAACACTGACCTTTCTTGTTTTCAGTTTGGAGCTTGGCTCCCCGATCTACGAGGTAGGTGACCAAGCCCTCTCTGGAGCTCTCTATTGCGCGAGTCAGAGGGGTGCCACCATTCATGGTGTGAGCCTCCAACTCTGCTCCATTGTCCAATAGAAATGACACAACATCCAGCTGGCCCGAATGACAGGCGTGATGGAGGGGTGTCCACTTAAAGTTGTCTCTGGCGTTGATGTAAGCCCTATGGTAAGAAAGACGAAGAATTCTTCTATATCTAGGGAAATTAGAATCAATAGCAACCACACATTCATCTATTTTTTATACATTTATTTCAAAATATCCTTAACTTAAAAAAATACACCATCCATTTCCTCTACCTGTTATAGACTAACTGTGTTGAGAGACCCTTGTGCTGACAGACCAGTTTACAGAAGCTTTGTTGATAATGATTATGCTGTTACCTGAATTACCAACCAATTACAGATCAAATTGATAACATAATGAAGGACATCTGTCATATTTTTTTTCTTATTTATGAATAACTTTTGTCTCAAAATATTTACCCATTTTCCAGAAGGAATTTGACCATGTCGATATTTCCAATTGAACAAGCCACCATGAGTGGAGTTTTGTAGTACTTGTCTCTTGTGTCTACCGGGGTGCCTTTTTGGAAGGCACCTTTCAGAGAATCAAAGTCACCATTCTTTGTCGCGTCGTTGATATTGATGTACATTTTCTCAGGATGCTGAAGATACCATGCAGAATCATCTTGCAGAGGATGTTTTGGAGGTCTGTCACGGTCAAAGCGACCAGTGTCTGTAAAATGTATATGTCTTTCTATGAACATTTCTGGGGGAGCACCACCATATGTCCGAGGTCCTTCCTCAGAGGTACAGATGGGCATGGCCAACTTGAACTTACCTTTTTTCCCTTTCCCCTTACCTCCCTTCTTCTTCTTTTTCTTTTTGCCTTCAAATGCACTCATGAGATAATTTTTATTCATCCATTTTTTTCCGGTAAGAAAGTCATTATAGTCAATATTTCCATCTCTTGCTTTGTCGTGAAGAGTCATCACTTTAGCGATGTCTGCCTCTTCTGCTGGTGCTGACATTCCAACAAGAGTGTCAGAAAACTCGTCCTTCTGGACTGTTCCTTTTTCATCTGGATCAAATCTTTTATAAGCATTTAAAATTTTCTGTGATTGTTCCATTACCCAGTCATATAAGACTATTGCCCATGGTTCATTGTTCTTGCCGACTTTTCCAAAGGCTTTCTCTGCTTTCCGTAACTCCTTCCCTGCCTCTTTTTGATCTTTTTCTTTGGCTAAAGATTTTGCAGTTTCACCATCATTGTTCTTTGGTTTTGGGTTACAACCTGTTTTATAATTAACCAGAATATAGATTTTAAATAAATGTACACAGTGGCACTATTTTGCTCTATTTGCTGTCTGATCACAATCTATGAATTCTGAACAGCCTGCATACCTATTCAGATATGTAAGACATATTAAAATCAAAACTAATAAACATTAAATCAAAAGTAACAAACATGGATATATGAAATAGAAACATTTAATCCAATGGAGATGCAAGTGTGATTTTTTTTTAAATTTACACCAATGCAATAAAAAACCTGCACAATATTCTTCCTGATTTGTACATCTGTATACTTCGTAATATAACATTTTATAACTCACAACATTTAACTATTTAGTTGCTTGCTACTGTCTTGGTGACCAGTGGGGATTTCCCTTTCAGTCCTTTCGATAGAGCACTGGGCTAGCTTTTGTCCAGTGTCCATTCCTGGTGGAGCCATTAGAAAAAAGTGGCTTGGACTAGTAGAATTTGACAGGCTAGTACATTGTACTCAAAATATGTCATTGCCTACACCAAAGTGAGGGTAATGGTCAAATGTATGGAATTTCCATCCCTGGATAGCCTTTAGTTGATGTCACACACATGTAATACTGATGAAATTGTATAAGTAAGTTTGATACGCTCTGAACTTGTCTATCTGTCTTACACATACAGATATCATACGTCAGTATTTTATATATATTTCATATATATATACACTATGGATACATTTTAAAGATTAGCAGATTTTTAAAGGAAAATTTGATTGCTGTAATAATAAAAACATTTCATGTGATTCCACAGTGATGTCTTACCTCTTTGCCAGAGGAATTTACAGCACATTGCATGGCCATTAAGAGCGGCGTTGTGTATAGGGGTGTTGCCTTTGTTGTTACACTGATCAAACACTGCTCCATAGGCTGACATACAGGCCAGCACCTCAAACCCTCCAGTCAGGGCAGCATAGTGGGCAGCATGTGTATGCTGTATGTCCAGGACATTCACATCACCCCCTGCCTCCAGGATTGCTCGGACCACCTTCACACTGCCACTCAGGGATGCAGCCATCAGACAGGTCTTCCCAGTTTTCTATTTTGAATAAAGTATTAATAAAATCACAGCACTGTTGATTTGGTCTATGCAATAGATAAAGAAAGTCTTGTTGTTCCTGTTTCTAATTAGTACACTCTGTACATTAATACCAGGATTAAAAAATAATTTCAAACATTAAAGCAATATCAAAATAGCAAAATGCTATATTTATGATCCAAGTACCCAGTATATATGACTAATTATAAGTACCTCTTGTTTGCCATTTGGATCAGATCCCTTTTCAAGTAGCAGCAAGCATGCATCTTCATTCTCTGCTGCTGTCTCACAGGCAAACATGAAAACTGGGATCCCATCCCGAGACATATTGTTTGATTCAGCACCGTTAACTACAGCTAACTCCAAACACTTGGCATGGCGTTCCGTTGGAGATATACAATAAAATAATATACCTGCAAAAAAAATAGTTTTTTTAGAAACCTTAGTTCATGTACAAAACTAATGTTATTGCATTTGAGAACAATGAATTATTAGGAATGAATATTTAATATTAACGTATTATCCAATCAAGGACACTTTTCATGATCTGTAAAAGAATAAACATGGTACCGAGTGTAGACGGTAAAGATTTTTTTTTATAAAAATAGAAGTGTTATTGCTATACAGTTTACAGGTTACATTAACACAAAATTACCTTTTCCTTCTAAATCAATAGATTTCATATCTGCCCCAGCTTTAGTGAGCTTCTCAAGGCACTGAACATGACCAAACTCAGCTGCTCTCATAGCTGCTGTTCGCCCTTTGAAGTCTGGGACGTCAGGATGCGCACCAAGTTCCAGGAGAAACTCAATCATTTCATCATCATTGGCAGCAGCAGCTACGCCCAGTGCTGTCAGACCCTCTGAGGCGTCATTATAATTGATGAGATGAGGAATGCCATTCACTGTCATCTTCTCTATCTGGTTTTTTTCTTTCATGCGAACACATTGTAGTAACTTACAGACCTGTAAGGTCTCTAGTCTGGTCTGTGCCACAGGCATGGTGTCAGTTAATGCCTGTATAAAGGACAACCAGTTATATCTCTTACGTGCAGAATTGCTATAAAAGGTTTACATGCTGTAGTCACAGAATCTGATGTATCCCTCTGTAGTGAATGGTCACATTAATAATGTATACAGATTATTCGTAGGCAATTGGTTACCAAAAGCTGCCCATAAACACTGGAGGGGTTACTCCAACAACATGATAGGTTTCTGTAATTATAATAAAATAGAAATAAATGACTCATAAAAACAAATGTGAATATAAAAGAAACATTGCTATAATTTTTTTGTTTATTCCTTTATTAATAATTAAGACTATCAAATGTCATGTTAACGTTCTTTTTCTTTGTAGCACTATATTAACTGTCAGCCGTACATCGGAGAAAAGAAGGAATTAACTGACAAATTTAGAAAATAGAAAAGCTAATTATGTGATTAAATCGGTTGGCAACATTTATCAAGAAGTACACTCATTATTATAAATGACAACATTTTCATAGAGGACATGTATGCAAATCACTTTTATTCTATCGTCATCTCTGCAAATATATCTTACATAAAAACAGAAGGAAATAGATTTGTTGCAATTAATACATACTTCTGATTTTGACCGGTTTGCAATTAGTATACCGTAGTTGAAAAAATACTTACGTGTCGGTAGCACTCACTTGGCAGCCATTACTGTTTACAGTTACCAGGCGACAAGCTCGCACCTGCTTCAACGAGCGCCCTCTAATTCAAGATCGATAACTCGTGAATAAAAAATGATTCCCATTCAATTTTTTTCAAACACATGTGTGGATGGTTTGAGATATTTTAAGCATTTTGACAATCGATTTAAAAAGAAAGAGAATATCCTCTATTCTTTTATGGAATGTTCGAAGCCAAATACAGTTGAAATTCAAAACTAAAACTAAACTAGAAAATTCCAACAAAAATTCAAAATTAACCATCCAGACAAGAAAAGCAAAAATAAAGGCAAATTCTTAGAATCTTTAAAAACAAAACCTTGATTTCAAAGTTTGCATACAAACATACTGGGTTTTACTAGAAGAAATATATGAGAGCTTGCAGTCCAAACAGACGTGAAACTAAACATACATCTTTGGACCCAGTATACCAATAATTATGGCAAATATAACATCGGTAGAGAAGGTACAAAGAAACACAGAGACTACACCCCAAGATCAGTCACCAAAATACTACAATATATAAGCTGGGACTCAATGAAGTTACGACGCACTTTTGTGTTCAGGCCGGTAAAAGTAATATATATATATATATATATATATCACTTACATAAGTGCAACATATAAAAGAGATGATACAACAATTTTATCACATTAAAGTTTGAAATTGGATTGTAAAACAGGAAAGTATAAATTAGATTGACCAGATTTTCAGTGTCAATGAGTTTCTAACTAAATTGAGTCCTAAACCTCTGTCTTTAGGGAGTACACCTTTCATTTATGTTACATTATTTTAAAAATGCTTTATTGTATATAAGTTTAAA